GGGGCAGGACCGGACCGAGACGCTGGCGAGGGAGTCGGAGGGGGAGAGCAGGTCGGAGCGCAGGGTCGGCGGCCAAAAGGGGGAGAGCAGGTCGGAGGCGGCGTCGGCGTCGGCGGCGAAATGGAGGAGGGCGCGTCCCGCTATCCCAAAACCCTCGCGTCCCGCTCGCGCCGCTCCCTATGTAGGAGGAGCCGCCGAAAACCCTGCCGCCCGTGGGCCGGGGGGCACGCCTCCTGCAATCTATGATGGGCCAGCCCGGTAAGGCCCGGCCTGTTTTAATTCTTTTTCTGCTCATTTCTTTGCTTCTCTGTTTCTTTTTTCTTTTTCTTTGTTTTCCTTTCTTTTTTTCTTTCTCGCTTGTTTTTTTAATTCCTTTTATCTTTGTACTATCATTTTTTTGTTCTTTTATTAATTTTTATAGCCTTTCCTTTTCCACTCTTCGCTTTAATATCTCTCCCACAGATATACATGAATATATTTCAAAGTATGTAAATACTTCTCTTAATATTTTAGTTTAATCAATATTAATATTAATTTCGTTTTCTCTCATCCATGAATATTTTTTATGGAACAATATATTCTATTTTCAAGATATGAATATTTTTCTTCTATATACCATGATGAATACGGGTAGATTCGATGGAGCTGGCGCACGCTTCAACACGGCCCGGACTCAGGGGACCCAGAACTAATTACTGCCGCCTAATATGAAGATTCAAAACAAGCTCGTATTTACTGGTTTCTAGAGGAAAAATCAGGGCTTCACCGATTTGGTTTTGTACAAGCTTTCCTTTCAGGAAAAAGATAGTAACATACTGTATTTAGCAATACTGTTATTTGAAGGAAAACATTTTCTAATGTACTCCCTCCTTAAACTAATATAAAAGCATATAATCCCTCAAACAACAAACAGAGCCAATCTAAAAGAAATATATCTATTCATACTGCTACTGTTCATACCTATACTCCTGATCTCACCAGGGTATTGAGTGGAGAAGATCAAAACACTTTTCACCTGCGCACTACTGCAGGACAGGTCATCAGCATAGCAGAGCCAAAATATTCACGCATTTCTTTGGTATTTCAATCCAGAACTGGAGTTCGATTTTACTTTTTGGAGAAAAAGTAAAAATTATTTACAGCACTACCTAGAGCATACGGTACACGGTGAAACCATTATATATACACGTCCCAGAAAGAACCAGCAGCAAGGCGCTAGACTCCCTTCCTTCTCTATCTTGTGATGGCCTGTGTCAACTAGCATCTCTCCAAGATCTTGTAGAGTTTGTCTAGAGAAGCAACCTGCATAACAGGTTAAAAAACAGCTCGATATCAGCATACACATCATCTGTAAAAAAAGGTAATTTGCGCAACTTATAGTGGTTGCAATTGACGCCGTGCCTTTTTTTTATGACTCGCTGTCGTAACAAAACCGGATAACCTACTCGGAAGAATGACCCATGCATGTGGTTTGGTGATTCTTCAGGAAATTATTACTACTACTTTGGTTGGTGCTTGGTACCTTAACTTTACGACTTCATTATCGGCAACTTTCTAAGCAGTGCAATTTCAATGCTTGTGCAAGAAAGGGTAATGGACAGATAACTTCTAGACATGCATTTCAGGAATTGTAGTGCTAGCATTGGGCATTCCATGGACAGGAGTGCAGGCAGTAATAGACCATAAAGCCATGGACAAAAATCTGAACCATTGCCATGTCAACTGGAGACGCGCCAGCCGGCCACTTTCCCTTGGCATTGAGGACATCGAGCGAGCTGGTCTTGCGTTGCGCTTAAGATGGCAATGGTTCAGCAGGACTGACGAGGGCGTGCTTGGGCCGGCCTCGACCCGCAGTTCTCGGACGAGGAACACGCCCTTTTCTTTGCCTCCACCAGCATGACTATTGGCAATGGCCAAACAGCATTGTTCTTGGAGGATCGCTGGGTCGGAGACAAATCTGTGAATGAGATCGCCCAGAAGCTCTACGCCTGCATCCCCAAGCGACGATGGAAACTTCCCACCATCGCTGACGGGCTTCAAGCACACCCATGGGCGCGTGACATCCACGTCAACCTGGGCGTCCACAAGATTGAGCAAAATCTGCTGCTATGATGAGCTATCGAACACACCACCCTCTCGGACGAGCCGGAT